TATTTCTATTATTTCTTCCTCCCATCCTGTTTCATATTATGTGAAGTCCCCAATGCAGCCTGTGGAGCAACTAAATTTCTGCGTGAAAAGACCAATGCCGTTGATGGCAGTTAGTTAGCATCGATTTATTCCCATTTACATGTGGTATGCGACAAGGTTGTTGGCTAGTATGCTTGTCGTCTATGGTGGAAGCGGGGTTCAGTCTTGAGTTATGGTTACGTGGAATGCGGAGCGTGTAAGTTATGCTTGCAACTGGGGGATACAGGGAAAGGGGGTGTTGAGAGACTGCCGGGGTGTCCGTGGGAGACTGCATCTAGCATGTCGAGTGTCGGAATAATCAGTCACTAACTCCTGTTGGTCGAGGATGTGATTATAACAATTCTTTTCCGGAAACATTAACTGTTCGCTATGAGTTGTTGTGTTTGAATATATACAACACTGACACAGTGAAGAACCCGTTATGTGTGTGTGTGTGTGTGTGTGTGTGTGTGTGTGTGTGTGTGTGTGTGTGTGTGTGTGTGTGTGTGTGTGTGTGTGTGTGCGTGTGTGGAGGGGTGAGCATTCATGTTTTCAGAATAATAAAACACAATTCAGCAAGCTTTTTTGTCATAAAATAACTTTGGGAGAGACTTCTGTACGATTGAGATTATTTGTCTTAATACGATGGTGACTGTTGTATTGCAGAATCTTGAATATCCCATTGCTTGGCTCACTCTTCTCATCAGCATCCCGATGAATGGGAGAATAATTCCATTAAACGTTTATTCATGACGACCTTCGCCGTGGGATATATAGCAATAAGCAGAAGATTTCACAAATCAGATCTAAAATCTTGAAACAGTTTCACTGCCCATTTAAGCTCATCAAAATTTCAAACGGCTTGCGTCACGTTCACAGCTCAGTAATTACACTCAAAGACGCCGGCTCCTAATTAAAAGGCATAATTCTAATTACCAAACAAAATAATTAATCCCCTCAATCCATTGGGGTATTCTTGCTCATCCCTAAGTCCCCACAGGTTGTACTTAGAGAGGATGGAGATCCCCGGAGACGGGACCAGATCCTGATTCAAAGAGCCATCATTGCGCGATTTGCAATGCTCACATGGGCAATTTGGCAATCAGGGTGTAGATCTGCCCCATGGGATTATACCAGGTTTACAGATAACGCCGGGCCCATTTACAGCCTTCTTGGTTCTACACGCACTAGTCTCCATTGCAACAGACCCATGGTTCATTTCTTTATCAGATTGTCCATTTACCCTTCGGGAATCTATTACGTTGCGGATATGTCTCGGATTTAGGGTTTAGTTATGGGGCTGTTTCATTTCGTTATAGTTGTTTTCATTTAAGGCCCCGTCGGCTGTGCACTGTCTTTGATCACCCAGTCAGTAGATGTGGAATAAATGTGCAAATAGCCAGCATGATATTTTGTTTTTAGTACTTGCTAAAACGTCAAGTGTCGGACATTATACAAGAGTGATTGTGTCCATATGTCTCATGGTCACGGTATTTTGAAAAGTGTATATTTTTTTACGTTCACTTGCCTCGATTACCTGTCAGGTATGGTTCATTGCATTATTAGGTATGGCAATTATCCGGGAAGTGTTGTCAATTTCATGTACATTTCTCCTATCAACTTGTAGATTTCCGGGCTTCTGTTGTACCTGTTCTCTTTGTGATTTCCAGGGACACTCCATGTGCAATTGCCCAGAAAAGCAAGCGATTGGTTTAAATGAGCCATGCAGAGAACTTTCCCCTGGGCCGACACCATGTTCGCTAATGGTGGGTTGGCGGGCCGTTGTCTGCCTCTTAGGGCTTTTTTCTCCCATTTTGGATTTGTTGCCATTGTTCATAAATTTATTAAAGTCCTTGTTAGCATGTGGTTTGTACTATAAATTTATCGGCGGGATTAACTCTGTTGAGAGGGTGAGAGTTATGTTCTTTATACCAAGACAAGTAAATCTAGCATGTTTTATGTTGCGTCTCATGTTTAGCTGACATAAAGGAAATAGAAACAACTTGGTCTCTTACCTTGGAGACCCACATATTTAATATACATGCATTGATTATTTAGAAGTTATAACGTTTTATTTTTTTGTGAACAAAGCTCGTAAAGTACAATTTTCTTCGATACAATATTATTGTCAGTTACTGTGTTTTACTGGTGTGGTTGTTTTTACAGTAGCTATGAACTATGGACAAAGTTTATCACAGACAGATATTTTATTTTCCTCTCATCGCTGTACATCATAAAAACATGCATAAAATAGGAGTTTATACATAAAACTAATAATACAACGCCACTTACATACAGTTATGAAAGACGAAACAAAACGGAATGATATATACAGATAAATATGTTTTATCCATATAAGAAATGCTTTATGCATTGTTATATTAAAAAGCAGGTTTCGGCAGTGGAGTATGCCTCATGTTAGAAAAGGACACGCAACATCCCATCATTTGACGGGTTGGAAAAATTGGACATTTTAGCCGTGATTCTCGTCAATAAGGAAAATAAAAAATAATTGTATTTCGGACATTGCGATAAAACATATTCTTCCTCTTCAATATGATCATTACAGCTATAAAAGCCATACCTTTATGTTTATATATTCCCCAGTTTCGATTCTTAAAGGTGCAATACCACATCTAAATTTTGCAAAGGCAGATAGGGAACTCTGGGGCATACAGATCTTGACATAGTTTTCACAGCAAAATCAATGTTTAAAAATCCTATACGTACGGAGTTGGCTTGTATCAGTATGAACATAACGGTCTCAACGTAAAATACATTCATGTTTCCATTGAATAATCACTCTTTAGTTCTCCATCAGAATAAGCCATCTCCCTAATTTGAATTTCAAACACACCGCTTGAATCTAAGGTCCTTAATCAGTGTTTATAATCAGTTGATTTTCAGACAAAACTGATACATAAACATGACTGCGTGGATGTGTTTCCTCAGTAACAGGCGAGACGTTGATTACCGAAAACAACTAATATCCCGAATCATTATGGACGAGACATCTCTAATTAGATTCATGATTGCTTTAATTACAATATCAATTTTGCCCCCTTTATACCCCAATGATAAAATCAGCGCTTCCTTTTATCTCAGTTCACCCCCCGGGGGCGAGAATTGGGAAGCGTCAACTGTGCGCAGGAGCGTCGGGGGTCAGAAGGAAGGGAGGAGAGCGGGGAGACGGGCGTCTCTTTGTTCATCTATATAAACAGATTTGGGACCATCCAATTGCGTTTGCACTTTGTTTGGCAAGTGATTAGTGTTTTCATTATTACCCGCTAACAACATTGTAATCCTTAAATTATTGTTGTGTAAACAATTAGGGATCGTAAAACATGTCTCTTTTAATAGTAAGACTCAGAGCTACGCCTCGCTTAACAATAAATAAACTTACAATACTTAACTCGTCTCGAGGTGGTTGTAAACGCATTAAACTGAAGTTACCTTAACCGATTTTATGACTGGTTTACAACCAGTGTGTACGAGTTTTCCTTTGAAAAAAAAGGAGTGAAGAATTGTAAACATTTACAAAGTGATAATTTGAAAATAATTACAGCTGTAAAATGTCATTTGACTGTACCGAAAGGCTAATTGTGTCTTGATGCAACTTTCTCACAACAACATTTGTATTCTAAATAAACGAAAATTTTGCAAAAACGTTGTTATATAGAAATGCTGCAAGTGGTAAAATTGTGTAAAAAAGGTTGAATCGTGAATACATGACTGAATCTTGTGCATAAAAGGTTGAATCGTGCCAATATTATTCATCATATACTATGTTCTATATTCCAAATTTCTATGTTTGTTATTTCCAAACATAAAGCATAGAGTTGACAATTATTTGTGTTGTTTGACAATTATTATAATGTAATTGTTTTTTTTACTGAAACAAATCTATCCAAATCTGCCCCTTTCAACATTTAACGTTTCATAGGAAAGTTGTAGTACGTATATAATGCTGAGTGGTTTAAGTCATTATAGTCCCATATTTGTATTCTTTCTTCTCTTTTGGCTTTTTGCTTTTGTTAAAATAAATCCTTTTCATCAGAAAGGAATTTACAGCCGACACAAGTTTTACACTGCGTGTTTATTTAGAAACTGCAGATGTTTATACTCCGACCGTTTAGTGGCTGGGGTGAATCAAATTTATCTTATCTTTATTTAAATTAATCAAATAACGCTAATATATATTACCACAAACGACAACGTAATTGTAGTCTCCTGGTATTCAAAGAGCAGAATGTGAATGGCGAACAGATATCAATAAACTTGTCAAGCCGTCTTAATACCGTTTTAATGTGTACACACTCGGTGTTTGGTAAACAATCGTATCAAATTATCAGATAAATTTCAGTTTCAAGAATTTCAATCGACCGGAAAAAGCAGACCAACAAATGTATAAGGGTGCAAGTGTAAAAAAATAAAAACATTTAAATTTGCACTATGGTCAGAATAATTGCAATTTGCCGGGTTTTTACGAGCCCTAATTCCACTCCAAACTGTAAATATTGACTCTAATTGTACCTTTTGAAATAATATATCTGTGATTGAATCGCGTGTACCACTGGTCGCCAATCCCCACACCCTGAATACCCCTTTGCTACCCCTTTCTGGCGCCTGTCTGTCATTAGGGGTCATCATTTAGCGTCTAGTGAGACTCGGGCCTCTATAAACTTTAATTTGTAATGGTGCTTGATAGATGAGCTAGCGCCCGTCTAAAGAGGACTGCCGGTTTACTTTGTTCAAAGGTTTCCAGTTAATGTCATTAGCAAAGCGAGTCAGCGATCCGCGGTGTATCTGACAGTGTTCATTTGTTAATTAATCGCGGCCCTATCACCCGTCACTTGCTGTCAGTCTATTCATTGAGAAGCAATCAGCACTCGTTTGGCGATGGCCATTTACAGCTATCAATTCATTTGCGTCGACCAATCAGATGCCGGCGGCCCGCGGTGACGTCATATCCGAGCTCGAGCGGCATGCGATATAAACACTACAGGAGATTTGTAATAGACATTACTCGTTGAAAAATAGACGTTGACAACTTGGAGAAAAGTGTGCAATTGTCATCGATTGTGTTCAATTTTGTTTGTACTGGTAAGAGAGAAGTTAATCATGGCAGATGTATCCTCAGACAGTGAATGCGAGCGACAGACTCCGAGTCCCTCGGATGTGAAAGACATTTCATATGAAATTGACAACACTAAGTCGGACGCTTCAGTGAAATTAACATTTGGTGTTGAATCTTTGATACGTTCTTCTGGGGAGAAGAAATCTGACTACAGTTCGAGTAGCGATGAGGAAGCTTTGCCAGTACGGGCAAGTGCAGTTCAAACTTCTCCCAAATCCCTAAACCCGTTTGGAATGGACTGTATATTGAATCGCGCTGGGCCCACCCCGTCGAAGGAGAACACCTCCCCAACTGCCGACCGCCACCCCAACCCCATCTCCCCCGTGTGGGCCACAGAATGTGTTACAAAACTACCGTGGCCCTTGAAACCAGGCGCTTTCACACCAAGTAAGTACAGTTTATTAATGCTTGTTCTTACACATTTGTTTTAGAAACACACAATTCTATTATTTGAAAATTCAAACTTATTTTTTACCCCGAAAAAAACAATTTTAAAAATGTAAAAAATATTAGATAGTGATAATGCTACTGATAAACGAATGCGTATTTTCTAGAAATTATTTCATCTTATTTTCTTTCTTCTGCTATGCTGAAAACTCCTACAAGGTATATGGAAAGACCCGAATTTGTCACAAGCTGACATGTACAGAATTTATTTTAAAAAATCACAGCTCCCTAATAATACTCGAATTATTTAAATAAGCAGATGATATTTCTTATGAACAATATCGAATTCACTACTGGGTTGTGTTATAAGTTATGAGAACTGCTATTTCACATCTCTCATTTGTGAGCTTATACACACACACCGTTTCAAATATATCAATTTTCAATCTAGAAATATCTGAGATTTGGTCGTACAAAAGTAATACATATGTTCCAGAGATTTATGTTGTCAGTAGTTAAAACAAACTGTTCACAGATTATTGTTAAATGTGTGTTTAGGACAATACCCAAATATATGTACAATAATTAGTAAATAACGCTGAAACAGCTTTGCAAAGTCAGCAACGGCGCCACGCAGGGTACCGGGCAAGTCCCTACATTTTTTTAAAACCTTGAGTTGGAACTGTTTCTGCCAACAATGCTCCAGACTCATCATTTGCCTCTCCCCAGTAAATTTCCTGTTTGTCTTTTTATATTTTCCTTAAATTGATAACATCTGTCACACAACTAATTTACTTAAATACCTTTGGCGTTCTCTCTTTATTGCGCCTTGTGATTTCTGATTGTTTTCGTCAGGGGGCGCCTAGCTTGCGGCGTGGGTATTTCTTTTGGAGAAGTGTAGATAAAAGACACAAGACGGGAGCATGAGCCGTCCGCTAGATATTTACTCATAATCCGATTGATGCTATGAAAGATTCATAACATCAAAAAGCGATCTGTTTTAATGATAAGCTTGATTTATTTTGGGGATTTATTATGTAGCATTTCTTGTCATATATTTTAAAGAATAGTGTGGATCTCTAAAAAATTTAAAATATCATAATATCTTAATTCAGATTTCAAATCTAGTTGTTTTTGTGTATTTCTATTCTATTTTGTTAATACTTTACAACCTACTATTAGAACTCAAACAGTTCCAGTATTGAAATGTGTTTTTATTAAAATCTGATTTATGCCACTGAACATATTTTTCTGAATAATAAAATATAAATTTTATGATTTCATAACAAAATATCATTTACTTATGTATACATTTTTCTTTTTCAGAGCATGTATCTCACCCCCCTATCACACCTCCAAAAGTGATGACATTGAGGAAACACAAGCCCAACCGAAAACCAAGGACACCGTTCACCACAGCCCAGCTTCTCGCACTGGAGAGGAAGTTCCGACAAAAACAGTACCTCTCCATAGCAGAACGAGCCGAATTTTCAGCCTCTTTGAACCTAACCGAAACTCAAGTTAAGATCTGGTTCCAGAACCGCAGAGCCAAGGCTAAGAGGCTCCAGGAAGCTGAACTTGAGAAGATGAGGTTTGCTAGTAAACCTATGCTACCTCCTGTATTCGGGGTCGCTATCCCCGCCTCAACCAGCATCTACGGTTCCCTGTTAAATTATTCCGGTATGGGCGGCCAGAGTGTTGTCTCGCCGTTTGGACTTTTTAACCCCATGCATGGCTCGGTGTATACGAACTGATCGTCATTATTTACGATATTCCAAATGTGCTATATTTATTCATAAGAAGGTGTGTCTATGTTAACCACAGGCGCAATGCACGTGCATCTTCAACTGGTGACCCGACGAAGGTACTTACAGCGTCATTCAGTGCTGATATGAACTGGCTCGATTGTCTAGCTGACATTTCTTGTGAATGTCCATGTTAACATAGGAAATGATATCCAGTTTTGTTCAAACAAGATGCTTTAAACAGAGCATTTTAATTGTTTTGTAAATTATTTTATTGTGAAATGTTTAAAATATTGTTACGATTTGTATATAAGATAAAACAGTAAAAGTCAAAGGACTCTAAATATATATTATGTTTGTTGTTTATTGACAATTGAATCCACATTACTACAAGAATTACTCTCTGTGTGTGTGTGTGTGTGTGTGTGTGTGTGTGTGTGTGTGTGTGTGAGCGAGAGAGGTCACAAAGGTCGCACTTCTTTAAAGCAAGTCCAATACTAGTCCGTCCACTCAACACCTACTATACACTAAGGTAGAAAGCGGCCCCAGAACGGCTTTGTGACGGCGGACCTAGTATCCCCCCACATAATCTCACCCAGCATCTCTTATCTCTCCTGATATGCATTTCTCCTGTGAATCATTTCATTCTTAAATCTACATAATTTCTCCGTCTATCACCGCCATGACATCGCACGGGTGATGTATGACTATTGTACTGATAGCATCAAACGTAAACCACCCAAAGACGTTCCAAACCGCTATAATGTAATCTCATCACGCGAATCACTAACTCAACTCTCTTCATTCTAACGCTTAGCTAATTTTGAGTCAACATACCTGTTTACTCAAACCACATCTAAATGTTCTGTGCCTTATTAAAATGTATAAGCTACTTTGGTTTGGAGATTAATGATGTTATACGCGACTAAAGAATAATATTTCACTTAAAGGATGATTCCAGGCCAAGCTATGAGGGGTTTAGAATGCGGTATGAAATTGAAAGTATTAAGTAAAATCAAACGAAATCATTTAGTTTCTTTCTCCTCAGACCGAATTAGATTTTAATATTGAGCTGTGTGTCGCTGTCTTTGATAGGAGCAATCACATTGCCCCTGTGCTGCCGTGAGTAACTAACCAAGACGCTTTATATTAACCTCTAATGAGCTTGTATTTCACCACGGCAGGGATATTAACTCGATTTCATAGTCAGGCAAAGGGCTAAAGAGCTAAAAATGCAATATGATTGACCGCGATGTGAAATTGACTACAAGTTGCTCATTTCTGTTAAATCAACATGCAATCGGTACCTCTCCTATGCATACCAAACAGGCGTAATGTCCTACAATGATTGAAAATGGCAAGCGAAATTGAAACCTCGATTCCTGGTAACTCGCGAGCATGCCCCGTTCAGTCACAGGGCGCGGTAATGGAGAGTATTGATTCGGAGGGGGGTTTTATTTGAAACAAATCGCCAATGTTTTGCTCCAACGGTCAAACCGGACACGGACGAAATAAGAGTAAAATGGCATCCTGGCACGTGAAGTCTGGATATGAGCGGCGTGTTATAGACAGCTCGGCCTAACCACCATATCTGCATACATGTGGATTTTAATAGGGGTGTTCATTCATGGCGATCTGGTGAAGAAAGCGGTAGGGGCGCACATCAGACATCACTACACGCAAATACATTCATTTGGGTACTTAAATATATTTAATATTCAGGATCACTTGAGATAACACAACTCATAAAACAACACGTGGACGTCAACGACATCTGGTAATCACAGAACTAGTCTCTATTACAGTCCCAGAACATAATCACAACCATTCCATCCCACGCCTCATGCCATCCTGAGCTTGTCAGTCTATCCACATCCCATTCGCAAGAGATGTGAGGGTTCTCTTTCAGATGTATTTTATCTCACCCAAGACTCTCATACCCTCCCAGAAATATAGTTACAAAACCTATGTAGAACCTTAATAAATAGTCAATTTCGTAATTGTGTTTTAAAGGATAATTTTAATATGCTTTACGGAAGAAACGAATACACCAAGAGTTGCTTTGTTCCAAATTATTATACGTATAATATATTCAATGTATAAGTATTTATTATGTTTACGGACATTATATACCGACTGTATGCAGTCCATGCATAAGTCATTGCTGTTTTGCGAGGAACATTGTATCCAACGTGGCACTGGCAATACACATGAAATAGACAACCTTATTCAGCTGTGAAATACGTTCCCGCCAACAAATGTTTAATTACAGTTATAACTGTTTGATATGCCCGCCAGTGACATAACGTTGATGTAGACTGTCCCCTGGTCATCACTGGACACGATATTATCTGACCCTGGGCAACAGGTGGCCATTGTTTACAACCTCACTGGTCGGCACGTTTATAAATATTGCCACGGGTTATTTTGACTGGGGTGATGACGTGTATTGACGCTTGTTATCTTATGTTTTGATACACGTGACGTAAGCTAAGTGTTTGATGAATAATGCTAATCAGGTCTCTTCAGCAGAAAGGGATCAGCTCTGTTGTGAATTCAGTCTTGATAGATTTCACAATTACAAATCTTTACAGCTCTAATTATTTTCGACCCGCACCGTTTTCTTTGTCTTCTTCTGTGGACTAGTAACCGAAAATAGTCACCTTTGATTTCCAGTTTATTTTTACATAACACAAAAAAAGGAAATGTACAGAGCTTTGATTACGATTGGAATTTGCTCCACATAATTATTTAATCTTTGGTTAAATGGAATATATTTCACATATATCCCAGCAGGATTCCTAGTGTTAAGGTCAGTAGAGCTGTGTCGATCTCTAGACACTAAGGCACGACAAGGGAGAAACTATCCGCTTTTTTAATTACTATTCATTAATGACTTAACTTGGTATCTACTAGTCAGCGACGGCAATGGAGTTTTCTCAGTGACGAGTTGGCAGATTATTACACGTGCAGAGGAGATACGGCGGGGCTCCGGGGTGAGGATACTTCGATCTGTGAACACGTGACAAACACCCAATTTTCATTTGTATCAGTTTGTATCACTTCTGTTCTTGGTGTTTTATATGGAAACGATAACAAATAAATTCGAATACCTCATTCTAGGTACCGATTAATATATAGCTGCGACCTTTGAGGTTATAAAGTTTTGTTTTAATGAAATATAAATTAAATTTCTTCGAAACTAACACCAAATATGCAAAGAAATCATGAATGTGTTATAACAGGTAACTGGATAGAAACCATTATTGTCGACATTGGTTCTCTACGACCTGCATTAGACCTCGTCTTGCGGCAAATAAATATCACATTTATGTAATAAAATCTGTATTCCCAGTTATACCATAACTATTTTAACAAACGATAACTATCTCCTGTATCACAATATGCCGTTACTGTTAGCGGCTGTGGGTGGACGGTTATACCTGATGCCAGGGACTCCACACCCTCTGGGGATTCCGCGGTCCGGTAGGCACTCAGTATCACACCCTTGCCAATACCCGACTGAAGAGTGTGTGAGTGAGGGACTGCTGTTTCCCAGTATGTAACTGATCGAGCCTGTTAATCAACGCCAATGTCCCGTATGTAATGTAAAAAACCTCCAGCCCAAACCTGTTTTCTTATACTGACTAAGAAATGTACATAAAGTGTCTGTAACGTCTAAATATTAAAGTCTCTCATAATTCCAAGAGGAATGGCTTATGTCCCCTATCTCATTGTTATGTATTTTAGTAACTTATTTATGTTGTACATAAGGTTTTGACTGCCACCGGTGGGGCAGGATACACTCACATTTTCGCGAACGCCTGGTGTATTTGATAGTTATTCATCGACGCATGCTAATGATATAGTCGGAATCGAAAAATCGACTCTTATGAATATGGAATGGGTTTTGTCGCTTTTATTTATCGAAATAAATTATCTGTCTGTATATTATCGAGTTCGGAACAGACTAAATATTCGGGGATTTTTAGGCAACGGCCCACTCAAGGCGGTGAAGTGACACACAGTCAACCAAATCACCGTCTCTTACCATGCGATCCATTTTAGTCTACGAATACATTCCCTCCCTCACTACAGGAAGCGAGGACCGTGATGCCATGAAGTTCAATCCGGGGTGAAGTAGCTGCTCTCCTTGTCACCGTGAACAAGCAAATGTCCAAACTGTTCAAAGTAGCCTAGTTAGTATTCTGGGCAAATCTTAGGTAGGTAAAAAAAACACCCTTTCCCCTTAGTGCCGACTAAATTTGTAAACTTAAGGTTACAATTTGGTTGTCATGGTACCTATATATAAACTGAACCCTTTTGTTTTACAGGTTGTCTGTGATCGGGAGTCCAGCCTTAAAGACCTGTTACATGTATATGCTTCTTAAAACGTATTTGTTTACTTTTTGCCAAGTAAATGGTAAAATGTTTCGGTTTGAGATTAAGCTTTAACCAGTACATATCCTTTCCAATAGACACGTCACCAGTTATTGAAATGAATTATGGGATTTTGGTAATCGATAAATGCCCAGACGAAAGGTGTATTATCAGTTATTGCTTAAAACACATGGTGACAGTTCGTCGTCTTTTGTTCAAGTGACGCACCTACAGTCTGATGTCACCAGCTACATCAGTATCCCGTGGAAAGATTGAAATCTAATTGACCCGACATGTACCCAGAGATATTGTTCAAGCTGTTGTTTAGTCATCATTTAGAATGTTCATATCCAGATTAAATGACATCTATTTACAAAACCTGCAATGTGGCTCACAAATCAGACTCACGACATTGAGTGCATTTAGATTCAGTGCTTTCCAATAATCATGAATATGTGTTTTATATGTTATCATTCTATCAACGAGTCACGTTTGTTTTTTAAACCTTTTGTATCTGATAATAACAAGTGCGTTTTTGACAGAATAATTAAACAGAACTCTTAATTAGTGCACAATGATAAAATAGGCACAGAGATTACACTTATCTAAAAACTAAACATTTACATGTAAATGATAAAGTTACAATCTCTAGACGCATTCATACACAAATAGACACGCTTAAAAACTTAATCACCTGTGCAAATACGATAGGAATGTATCAGGCCAATCAGCGGTCCAAATCGCGAAGTACACAATCGACTTGCATGTCTTGTAATAGACATCGAGTGACAGCTGTCGATCATCAATGGACCCGTTACAGATCTCGCCGAGTCCGTACGTGCATTTGCATAGCACTATGTCAAGCGTTAAAAAGAGCTCACTGATAAAGCATAAATTACCCTTTGAATTGTCCCAAATATTTTACTAGTACCAGAAATATGTGATTATACCCATTGCGTG